TGTGTGTGTGTGTGTGTTTATCAAATAAAGTCTAATGTTACAACTAATTGTGGATCCTTTTAAAAATTACATCAGTAGCTGTGTTTTCATTGCAAATATGCGCAAAACTTTGTCGATTTTCTGTTAATGTTGAAAAAACACAGTTTCGCAACTGCAGTGTTTCCATTAAGTAAGAAATACCAATAAAAATCACACCTGAATATTTTTTTTTCTCGCGTTAAGTCTTAGATGACAAACAAACAAGGATGCTGGCATTTTATTTGAAGTAGTTTGATTGACGAGCTGTTATCTCATCAATCAGGTTTACTTTATTCCTTTAAACTCAGCCTGTTTAAGGAGTTTTAATTCTCCATAACTGCTCCTGTAACGAGACACAAACAGCAGCTGAGCATCGAGGTGTAAACATGTTCTATTAAAGTGTTGAAAAGTGTTTATTTTGAGTGGGGCGTGAACTCTAGCTCCGTGTTTTTTTAACCAAGAGAAGTTCTGTTAACAGGGTTTGGGTCAGTTTTCTGCTGATTCAGCATGGCTTTACCATGACGCAGCAACAATAACCCACACTGTTGGTCTCCCCCCAGCTGTGGTGTGACTTCGATAAGTCCAACACCTTCAGGAACCAGACGTACAACGAGTCCGCCTCCATCCCAGACATCTGCTTCTACCCAGAGGTACCAACTAAATGAGGTGTCTGAGATCTGCAGTCAGGTCCATCTGTTGTCTTTTTGTTTTTTCACTTCTGACACAGTGGCAAAACCATGAATTAAACATCCTGACAGCTGCTCGCGCCCAGAGGGAGGTCCCGCCTTGGACACCGGCGGAGAGTCACGTGGAAAAAAAATAAAATAAAATATCTACAATAAGTTATTTTGCTCACACAACGTGCAGCTGATTGATGGAGTCAATAAGACGCTCCGAGCTCGGGCTGAGCCATGTACGCTCACATACATCAAACTTATTTCCTCCTGAGGTACTAAAAATCCTCTGTGTGCAAATAAAACCTGTTTGGTCATTTTTTTTTAGCTGCCCTATAACCAGAAAAAAACAAAAACCAGAGGCCGGGGCGCGGCGGATTGTCGTTTATTAGATTTAATACTYCTTAAGTGTGAAATCCTTACAAATAACTGTCAGGTTATTTTATTAGTGTTTAACGTGCGATCATGTCTTCTGTGGCCGGAGGAGGCTCAGTGGTCAGGGAAGCTGTTTCTGTTTGAGCCCAGATTAATAATGAAAAGCTGCAGTGTTCGTTTTGTTCATTTCTGCTGCACTTTATAAAATAAAACTCTTCTGATTTCCTGAAGACCCTGAAAAAGMGAATTTCTGTAATAACTTCTTAGAAAACCCTTCACTCAAAAAACAAGCAGTTAGTTAATATTCAGATCGTCTACACTGGCTGAGTCTCAATTCATGGGCTGCAGCCCACGTTGGCCTACTTGGGGGCGGAGCCTGAGGGGTGGTCAGGGTGGCACTTCCCACCAAATGATTGGCAAGTGGGTGGGGTTTGCATGTGGCAGTTTAAAGCTGGGCATACGATAAGAAACATGTTTTGCTAGCTGTCGTGGGGATTTCTCTCGGCTAACACCAAACCAAACTTCAGCTCAGAATTTCTAAAAGTGGCCGAGTTTTAGCCATTTGAAACTAGCTTTGGCAGCCATCTTTTTATTGGAAATCAGATTTTGTAAATAGTAAGTAAGTAAAGTTTTATTTATATGGCGCCTTTCACAGAAATAAACTCACAAGGTGCTGTACATTCAGGGAAAGGGGGGAGTTAAGACACACCCATTCAAGAAGACATACAAGACAAACATGGGGAACAGGTGAATGATTGTTTCTTGGCTACTACTATGCTAATTTTCAGCTATGTGTGTTTAAAAATGGCTAAATTATAGTCCTTTGGGAAATTAGCATTAGCATTAACGGTTATCTTAGTTGGAACTAAGAATCTTTTTTTTATCATTCCTTTCTACACCACGTACAACATTTCAGCTCAATATTTCTTTAACGGGATAAATTTGAGCCATTTGAAGTTAGCTGTGGTGGCCATCTTGGATTTTGAAATCCAGAAGTTTTATTTAGTTGTGTGCCCCCCCCCCCCCCAAAAAATACAACCTTGGCCACCCCTAGCTCCGCCCCTGCGCCTGCTCAAGCGGCCGAAAGAACCCTGAAAACAATGGCGGCCGACGGAATCCCAGAATTCATTTCTCCGTCAGTGAATTAAACAGAACAAACACGACAATTATTATTATTTTCTTTATTTACAGTGGAGTTTATTAATTAATTAATTAATTAATTTATTTATTGATTTATTTTTTAATGACAGAGTTTGGAATTTTATCACGGACCGAAAAATGTAAGTTCAACAACTTAGCTGAAGAAAGTTTTGTACTTATTGGAGCTAAACAAAAATTATTAATGCTTTTTTATTGATTTGTAACATTTTTTTTATTAAAACTGAATTTTAAGTTATACCTTAAGACACAACAGAAGCGATGTGATATAAAACATATTATGGTGGTCAGGCTAACGTCTTCTGTAGACCGGACCGTCTCATTTCACAGAGCGACCTGCGGTCCACGTCGACCGCGGTCTGCAGCCCACGACTCGAGACACAGACAGTTTGTGGTCCTGAAGACATGCTCTCCTGTGTTCAGATAAAACCTCTGCAGCAGTTTGTTCAACCCGCTCCCGTACCTGATTTTAACCACAGGTTTGTATATTTTCCAGTATTTTGTATTCACAGGCGTGCTGGCGATGGTCACGTGCGCCGTCTTCCTGCGGCTGAACTCGGTGCTGAAGCTGGCCGTGCTGCTGGTGATGATCGCCATCTACTCCCTGCTGACCGAGGCCTTCTACACCTCGCTGTTCGTCCGCTACGACACCGTGCACCACAACACCGAGTGAGTCCGAGCGCTGCTGCAGCGCCTCGAGCCCGAGAAATCTCTTTAGTGACAAATACAATTGATCATTTATCACATCTATGACTTCAGATCAAACTGTTGTCTTTAATAAAACATGAGTTTAGATTCTGCAGGTGGACAATCAGCTAAAAACCAACAAACTTTGTTTCGTCAGGAACTTCCTGGGAACCAAAGAGACGTCGTTGCTCCTGATGGCCATGTTTCTCCTCGCCGTCTTTTACCACGGCCAGCAGGTGAGACGGCCTCTGTTGGTCTTTTTGGGTCCCGGGGCAAAACGCAGACCTGGGACCCCCTGCTGGGAGATTATTGTTACTTATTGCTGCAGATGTTTCAGAATATGTCGTTAAACAAATGGTGTTTTTACAGAGTATTGATGTATTTAGAGATGGTTACTGATTCTTGTTTGAACCTGGGGGTGATTACATTAAAAAATTGGATTTATTGTGGAATTAAGTCATTTTATGGATGTAATTTAATGAACCTGAGAGCTCACAGCATATAATCTGAGCATATAATCTGAGCATAACTCCACATGAGATCAAATTTAAGGTTAATTTTGAGTTTTTAAGGCTTCAACTCAGCAGAAACTGTTCTTAAAACAAAGCTTCACCTTTATTTTCTGACTCTGTTTTAAGAAAAAAAGTTATTTTTTCCAGCTGATCGTTACCTTCGGTACCTTTTTAAAGCACGTTTATCGACAAAAAAAAGAACAAAGACTCAAACTTTGTTCCTGTTTGTTGAAGAGATGAGAAATAAAAGAAATTAACTGAGATAATTAAAAGTTTTATTTTAGAAAAAGCTAAAAGAACTGAAACAGCTAACTGATGATTTAATTTGTGCTTTTATGAAACAAGCAGCAGCTTTTTTACTCTCGAACATATAAGATATTCAGCAGTACAAATTTAAATTTGATCTGAACCTGTGTTAAAGAGGAACATCAGGTCCTTTGTTCTGCAGGATCTTATATCAGCCAGCAGAACTTAGCAGAAAGTAAACTTGAAGTTCATTTTAATAGGTATACTTCAGTAAAAGTTTAATTATATCACGTATACTAGGCACTATGTACTTGTAGTATACTTATTTAGTATTTGTTCATACTAAATTTGGATTCTGTTTAGTTTATAAAAAGTATACTTTAAGTATACTGTTATGTATTTTTAAAATTACCAAAAAGAAGTATACTTTCGGTACACATCATTAAGTAAACTAAAGTGTATAAAAGTGTATTTCCCTACATGTGCTTCTATTTACCATGTACACTGATATAAGTATACTAGCAGTTTACTAAAAAGTACTTCTAGGACTACTACTACGACTACTTTATTTATAAAGCCCTTTAAAACAACCACAGCTGCAACAAAGTGCTGTACATATATAAAATCAAAACATGAAAACACAAAACAAAGATTAAAAACACTAAAACCAATTAAAAAAACTAATTAGACTAAATACACAATTATACTGAAAGTAATCTTCTAAGTATACTTTTAGTTTAATCTTGAAAAATGCTATGAATGAACCAGTCTGTGTGAAAATGTACTTTAAGTGTACTACTAAAGTTTATCTTGGTTAAAAGTTTAAGCATTAGTATATACTAAGTATACTTTTAGTACAAGCCAAATAAATGTAAGACAGGGCTATTCAACTAAATTACTACATCCAACAATTAAAGTCATTATTTAAATAAACCAAGTATTACAAAGATATGTTACCTTTGAATTAGTTTATTTTGCTGCATTTAATCATGGATTCAACATACAGAACATAAAATAAAAGTGTCATGGTCTGTGTGTATTTTCTTTAACTTTCTTGTGTTTTCAATGTTCCCCTGTGTTGCTCCGCCCTACAGCCCCGCCCACACACACCTGGTCCCTCTTGTGTCTCCCCAGGTGTTTCTGATTGTCTCTGAATTTGTTTGTCTTTATATTTGGTGTGTTGTCCTCAGTCTGTTTCTGTTCATTGTGCTGTTTACACAGCCAGTGTGGTGTTCTCTGTGTTCCTGTTCCTCTGAGAGTTTTTGAGCTGCCCTGCCAGCCTTTTTATTTTATTAATAAATCTTTTGTTAAACTTTGGATTTTTGCCTGCGCCCTGGATTTTTCCTGCCCGCACCTCACAAAAAGTAGTGATAATTAAACAAAAACAACACTCAGCTCTTTGGACTTGAGATGAATGAACCAACTGGTGGGCTGAACTTTGGTCACTCACTCGTGGGCCGCCAGTTGAATAGCCCTGGCCTAAGATAAACTTGGTTAAGTGTATCTCAGATAAGCACATAAAAAGTAAACTGGAAGTATGCTCTTTTATTTTTATTTATTTTTAGTTTAAAATGAGTATACTTAAAGGATACTTGCATATAGTACTTTTTGCTYAGGACAAAACTTCACGTTCAGCAACTTTAAAAGGTAAATTTCCCTCTTTAAGCCCTAAGAAAAGATTCAACTTGTTKATAAACTTAGTTTTAGTTTCATACTGAACTTCCTGTGCTGCACAGTTGCTGTTGTTCCTGAATTAAACCCGGTCAGAACTCGGTTTCAGACCAGCACGTCGCGCTTCGATTAAACAGGAGAGGAAAGAAAAGTTCAATCACTGCAGAAAGGAGCAGATTTGCTCAGCCGGTAAATTAAAACGAGCACGAAGTCGTCTAACGTACTGTTTAATTAAACGTTTTGACGTCACGTTATTGATGATTTAATCAGTTTTCGACTTGAGTAAAGTCAGAGGCCTCATTCATCAGGTCTGTTTCTGCTGCAGGAAGATGTTTAACATGTTAGCCTGCAGAACACAGAGACCACCTGAACCCCGGGTCTTTAGGTCCATTCTCTCATGTAGATCTAAGAACCAGCTGTGACAGTAACAGGTAAAAAAGAGTGAATGTGCAGATTTGAGATAAACTTAATGACAAAAGGAGATGATTCTTCTGAAAGTACAAAGCCGAACTCCGAGCAGCCGATTTGTTTAGCCGTGGCTACGTTTTTCAGCCGTTTTTATCCAGATGGGAGTCAGGGTCGGCAGCCTGAAGGAAACTGCAATCACTCTGCTGCTTTTATGCTCTCTCTATGGCAACCTTTGATGGCGGAGTTCAGCGGCTCCCAGCCGGATGGAGATGGTGGGGAGACAGATGTAATTGAAGGTCTTTTGTAGCCTCATGAAAGCAGCCGTATTTGAAGTCATCCGGTGGCGTACGGTATTGATTTTCTCTGGGTCAATTCGACCACTTGTTTGGCGAGGTAGAGACAAAGGCAGCTCGCGGCGGGAGCCCTTTAACACTCACAGCTCTCCAACATGTTGGAGTGAGACGCATCAGAACACCCAGACCAGAGAAAAGACACTGTGTGCTCTTAGCAGCAAGGTTCAGCCACAGCTTTATTTTTAGAGCTAATGATTTAATGAAGCTCTGAACACTGTCACCTGACTTATTGTTACCAGTCTTCTGTTTGTCTGGTTAACTTGTGAATTCAGTGAGTGTCAGCTCTCTTATCAGGAACTGTAGGTTCAACTTTGTTTGTTTCAGATAATATTTTACTTTGTTGTTTTTAGCAACATTCTGTTTCCTCCTGAGGGTGTCTCAAGCCTCTTTTAGGATCAGTTAAGGTTCCAGCCCTCCACTTAGGATCATCTTTCACTTATACTGTTAGTGATCGGTGGCAATCATAGGTGATCATGGACGACTGTTGGCTACTATTGGCCATGGTTGGTGACTAGTTGGTCATCATTGACTGTTAAAGATCATTGGCGACTATTATGGTGCGTTCACATCGAACGCGATTTCAGCTTCAAAATCGCAGCCAACGCTGAAGTTTGAAGCTTGTGCACTTTGAGGTCAGACGCAGGACAGGCTCTGTTTAATGTCGGACGAGGAAGTGGCTTTGCTTTATTTACAGAGAGCAAGAGCGTGTCACGTTCATC